ATTTACCTATAGCTGGGGAGGGTGAAGAAGTCACTGGATCCAACCACCGCTTTTATCCACTGGACCATGTGTCAGAACATCCACTTTTATTCAATGGCCCAGCAAGCTATACTGGTGGACGAAATAAAGGCTTCATTTCGGAATTCCAACGACCTGAAGAAGGCCGGCGCGTACAACGATCGAAGCATCGTGAATATGGCAATAAAGATGAGGACGACAGCTTGAACAATGTATCTCCTCTCCCCCCTCTCTCTCTCTCTCTCTCTCTCTATATATATATATATATATATATATATATATATATATATATATATAGGCAATATTCAAAGATTGCGTTTAAGCGGAAACAGACTGTCGCTGCTTGGTGTTAACTCCAATGTCTACATTTATTTTTACATACTCTCTATACCTATATTGAGCACTTTAAGCCATAAATATAGCATACCTTAAAACTATATGTTGTCATATATATATATATATATATATATATATATATATATATATATATATATGTGTGTGTGTGTGTGTGTGTGTGTGCGTGCGTTTGTGTTTGTGTGTGTGTATCAGGGTTATTATTTTTGTAAAAATAATTGATTTCTTAATATCTTAATTCGGTGAAATTTTTATTAAAAAAAAAATGGAAAAATGTTTAAATTCAGTTTATTTTTTTTTTTAAAAATGTCACCCCCAACACGAAATTTCTAGAATTGTATATAAGTAGAGTAGTGCTTTGACTTTCTGGAGTCTTCTAAAACTTTCTGGGCTCTTCTAGAACTACCAGAGGCTTTCTAGAACTTTATCAACCTTCTTGAAGTTGCTTTGTTTATTTGTAAATGTGTATGTTATGCTATAGCTATGAACTGCTAAATACGCAAAGAAATACGTAAGTACTATCCGATTACATTATTAGTAAATTGGCGCATAATTGTGCAAGGACGAGATCCTGTCGTTACATTCGTGAAGTTAAAACCCCTAGGGGGCGTACTCTGAGGTCGACTGACGACATGTCCGAGGCTTTTCGGCGGCATTTCGAGAGCTGGTTTACCAAGGAGCCTGGTCTTCGTGATGACGAGTTTCGCAGCTATTTGGCTGACTTTCCTCGGCTTTCGCCGACTGAAGCGGCTAGCCACGAGGGTGAAATCACGGAGGGCGAAGTCTACTTAGCATTGAAGCAGGTCGGCAGTGACAAGTCTCCTATGAATTGTATTTGACGCTGCCGCACATCTTTGTGCTGATTTTGACTGTCGTGTTCAACAATAATTTCCGACAGGGGTCCAAATCCAATCGGATCACCAGGCGTGTGATAACGCTGTTAAGAAAGGGCAAGGATGGTGGGCGGGATTTAGATGATTATAGGCTTATTACTCTGCTAAACTCAGAGTTAAAGATTTTGGCCAATATCCTGTCGGATCGTTGGCAGTCAGTTGCCAAGAGTCTGTTGGGACCCGATCAGACTTGTGAAGGCTCGAACAAATCAGAGTAACCGGGATCTGATCCGCACGATCCTAGAGGGTGTATGATATGTCCCAGAAAGGGATATATTTGAAAGAAGTAGCTAAGTTGTTTTGTCTATTATAACCAAGTAGAATACGGTAGCAGTAATCGACTGGTACGCGTCATAGTCGCAGGTAAGAAGTGTAGATCAATGGCATAGTCCAATGGGCGTCGTTATAGACTTAGCTCTCAGACTAAGGCTCTCCTTGACTCTCCTACACGTCCGTCGGTATTTATGACGGACACCAGCCAATCATATTCCAGTGAGGGGGAACACAGGTGTACGCATATTCCATTATATCAGTGTAAAAGACAACGAGCAAATCCAAAGCCTTTGATAGGGTCGACCATCAGTTTCTGGCTGCTGTGCTGCAGGCCGCCGGAGTCAAACCCGACTTCTGCAATTGGATTAGCCTCCTGTCGAGCTCTCCCAGTGCTGTGGTACAGGGGAACGGAAAGAGGTCGAGCGCTTTTGCGCTGTCTCGGTTGGTTCGTTAGGGTTGCCCACTGTCGCCTCGATTTTATGCTTTGGCGTCGGAGCCTCTCTTTCGACGGCTGAGGGACAGAGTGAGCAGTCCGGTCCGACGTCGAATCGCTGTCCCTGGTGGGGCTCGAACCAGGGTTTCCGCGTACGCCGATGACATACTAATTTTTGTGTCGTACCGCAGTAATATTGAGATGGTACAGAAGGCGCTTAAACAGTACGAAAAGGCCACAGGGACCAAGAGTAACCGTAACAAGTCTTCCAGCTTGCGGTTAGGTGCCTGGATGGGGGTCTCTCTTCCGGGTTCTTATTAGTTGGACGGTCCTATCCGCATTCTTGGTTTGGGCTCGATCTCCAGCTGAAGAAAAAATCGTCAGAAGTACAGGCAGAGCGTCGGTTCGGACTTGGCTCCGAAGGGGGGTTGCCCTTGAAGGTAGAGCTGAGTCGGGTGACACTTATGTCTTTCTCTCATCCTTTATCGCTTGGCTTTACTTCCACTTTGCAAGGACCAAAGGAAGGCGATCGAACGGTTATTGTTTACCCTCTTACGGGTGGGCGCATGCAGAAAGGTCCATAAAGAAGCCTGTGTCCAACGTCTGTGTTGGGGGTTGGGAAAAGCGACACTTGGTCAGTCATCGAAACGTCTTGAGGTTGGTTTTCTTACACCGCATTTTGACAGAAGATT